AGAAGGGTTGTTGGTTGTAAGAGGCTTGTTAGAGCGATGAGAGGAGATGTTCGAGTGAACTGAACTGTAGATTGGGGGTACAGAGGTCCCCTATATATACTACTGTACATCTGTGGCTACGTAGTACTATACAGTACATTCCCAGGATGCACAGTCGCACAGAGAAGCAGTGCGTACACAGCGAAGCTGTGTGTGTACCACATGAGTAGTACAGCCTCGGTTATTGCAGTAACCGGCTGTGCCGTTCCATATCTTGTGACGGCTGTGTTAGGCAAGCTGTGTAAACCAGCGCCTGTTCAACAGCGTTCGTGGGGACTGCAGAGACAACTTCAACAAGCAGTTTTACCGTCACAGAAAGAGAATATCTACCGTCTGTCATGTCTAGGGGCCAGGGCAGTGGTGTGGGTTCGCGTTCTCGCTGGGCATTGCAGCTGGACAGCGCCGGCATTGCGCGCGTCCGAGTCAGAACAAACGTAGGCTTAGCCTTGACCCGATATGGGCCGTGGAAACAACCCTTTCCTGGGCAAGACGTAACGAAGCTTCCAGCGCCTTGCGAAAGGACCGTGTGCATGTGTATGTTCATGCCTCTACTTCCAGCTCTCATTTCACGTCACGGTGCTCTCTAACCCGTGACAACGCTGTTGCCAATTCTAGTGAGGATGAAATGGTGAGAGTATAGGGGTGATTGCTAAGGAGTACTCATGTTGAAGCCATTACAGTCAGCTAGGCGAAGCGACAAGACAGGCACCGCAACTGGTGAGTGGTATGCGTGTGTGACATACCACGGATTGGACTACAGGGCAAGCCGGCTCGGTTCAGCTCGAAGTTCATCATCTCGATCATCCTGCGGCACCCTGCCCTCGTCCTCAGAGGGAGACACAGGCGCCTGGGACCGCTTGCTGTCGATTGCAAAATTCAAGGGCGAGATTATTCTGGAGCACTATCGACAGTCTCAGATGGACTTTGTACTAGAACTTGAAGACAGTGGTCGACTTGTGTTCGGAGACAGCGCGCCTAGTGGCTTGTGCCCGCGCGTCGCGTCTTGAATCGCACCACGTGGTCGCGCTTGATCCGCCACCAGCCCTGTCTCGACTCTCGCCGGTCTTGCCGTTGCCTTTGTTCGCCATCTTGGGAGAAGCGACGACCGAACGACCGCTGCGTTTTGGGAGAATCTTCCGTCTGCTGCCAGAGACTCCTCTTTTTGACCACCGCCATGACAGCCACGGCTCCAAACTCAACGCCCGTGCTTTCTAAGTCTGTGCCGCCCAGGAGCTTAACCCCTGACGCAGAGGCACTCGGATCGTGCAGTTCGCTCCCATTCGATGCCGGTGAAGGGTCCTCCGACACTGGCATCACTCCCTCTTCGACCACGGGTGTCTCGTCTGCTTCTACAACCGCCAAAACGTCCTCGTCAGTACCTGACACCGAATATCCAAAGCTGCCATTGCACGAGTTTGTATGGGGGGTCAGTCGTAGCCTCTGCCTGCTCCCATCTCTGACACAACTGACGAAGCAACGCAGGAGAAACTAGTACGGAATACTCTCCCACAGGCTGCTATACCTCCCTGGCTCGATCCCCTCCACGTAGATGTGGACGACCCCAAGAAGCTTCCTCTGTGCTGGTACGGAGTAGAATTCCTGCCCGGCCTTGTCTTCAAGTACGCAGAACGTGTCGGTCTCGCCGCCTATCTCAAGTTTACCTGCGCCCACATGAAGGAGGGGGACCTGGACCCATTCGAGACGTGGATCAGATTCACCGACTGGTTTGAGAAGAAATCGGGTCTGAAAGTAGATCTGATCGATGTGTGGGGACATGAGATCCCAATCATGACCGTGTTCTCGAACCACGAGATCCCTCGCATTACGGATCAGATGTGGCGGAACGCCTGCGACCTGCTGGACGACATGGAGTTTCCAGACGAGTTCCAACTCGAGTGGTACTTGGATCGCAGATTGGCGGTGAGTGTTTCTGCTATGTGACCCAATGGCACGCTTTAACGTCTACTATCAGTACTAGATGTTCTCCTGACCTCCCTTGTGCCATAGACGCCACACGGTGACATTTCTATCCCTCGTAACCTCCTTTGTCCTTCATAGTTTCGCTTCCGAGGATGTATATGCACCTAGTTGTCCATGTAGTAGATCAAGACCGCCATACGAATTGTGGGCCAATTTATACCTTAGTTCACCTCCATGAATCACGAAGCCCTGGCGTCTGCGTGAATGTCTCGTCTCGAAATTGGGTCTGCCGTGCGTCATGGTCGCAGTGCGCATCGAACGCGACAACTCTCCTTGACGCGGCGCCCTGCTGACCACGCCCCGCCTCGCCCCAAGTCGGATGCGTCCGTGTATATATCGACATAACGTGACAAGGGAACGGCTTCGAGGTTGAAACCGCCATTGTAGTCTCGACATGGTCCTCATAGCGGTACCGCACATTGACGACGACTACTGTACAGGATCTTACAGACATTCACTGTAGTACTACCACGGTGTAGACATATTGCACATGCTGGTGTTCCGAAAGTAGCCTTCGTGCGAAGTTCTCGACTAGCACGTAGCATGCCGAGTCGACAGTCATGATCTCGCCCTCTCCTTACCCTTCTCGCTGACATCCTCCTTGTGTCCCACGGTACGACTTTCACGGGACCCGATGTTCTACGGAAGGATGGAATGAGGTGATTAGGGCGGTTCCACCACTGCATCAATGTCGACGACACTTACCAGGTGGCGGTCCTTCGCCTGCTGAAGATTTTTATCTCGTAGAACGCCTGCCAGCTGTTCAGCTGCTGATGGACGTGCCACAGAACGTCTGGGAAGCAGGATGCCAGGCGTGGTCGATGTCTGGCGAGATTTCTCCTGATTTGCTGACTTGAGATCCTGAACATATCCCAACATCTCGCGGAGCTGTGTGGAAGGCAGGCCTATGTTCTGGAAGGCCTCCTTAAACATTCTATTGCCCTGCGAATCCTGGGGCGTGCTGAGACAAAGCATCAGTATCTGGTCGCTGGTGGTCATGGTGGCCCAGTCGTGGGGCAACCTCTTCCCGTTAGGGAGTTCCTTAGGATACAGGGGCCCGACGGGAGGCGGCCACCTCCTCCTCATGCCTCCCAGGCGAGCGCCGCTGTCTCTAGCGCGCACAGACGAAGAGTCAGGAGCCCCAACATCAGATGTAGAGGCCGGAACGATGGGGGCGAGCGACGTCGATCCGCTCGAAGGCGCCGCCAACTGTACGTCTTCACGCCGGATGCCGGCGCCCAACCGCTTTCGCTGTAGATAAGCGGCACTGGGACTAGACATCAACTCCGTGTTCTCCTGCGAGAGGTTGGGTAACGAGAGTGAGCGATGAACGTGGGCCGTAGGAGTTACCGCGCCATCCGCTTCGGGTTCTCGCGATCCATCACCGTCATCCGGCTCTAGTGACCGCTCTCCGGCGGCGCCATAGGGTTCATCGGGTGGGGGGTCATCGATGTCGAGCTGGGACGTCTGGACCTTGCGAAGCCTGGGAGACATAAGCGCATTCCATAGCAACTGAACCATGGTGTCATCGATGGTCCCACAGGGAGGCGCTAGCACACTACTTACCGGGGCCAAAGTCTTGGAAGCAGTGCTCGGAGTCGAAGGCGTCTTGTCGGTGGGTTCCTCTACGTCTTCATCAAGACGCCTGAACTCCTCCACATCCTCCTCTTCCTGTAGTACTTGTACTGTATTGCGGGCCAAGACCTGTACCAGCGGGGTTAGTATGACGACCACCTCTACGTTGTGATCGAGCATGGACAGCACTCGCCTCAGCTTTGGTCGGCAGGGTCCAACCCTCAGCATGTCCATCGTTTTCCAGCTCGCTATCACCAAATGAGTTGAACCAAGACCTCTGCATCTGTATTTCGCCTGTGTACGCCTCCATGGGTGCTGTCAAGGATTGGAGGAAAGCGAGAAACCAGGGATTCAACGCCCGCTTTCCAGGGAGCTGCATAACATGTCTCACAACATGCTTGGTTTTCACCTGAGACAGATTCGAATCAGTCTGCCGTTTGCGCTTGGCTCCAGCTTGAGCATTCTCATCCATGGTCGACGCGTCGGGAACAGGGACACGGTCTTCTTCCGAAACACGGTAGAAAGTGCGTCCCTCTTAAAATTAGGGTCAGTTTTGATCAAGCACAGTTCAAGTGTGGGAGGAATCGACATACTCTGGCGCCTCGTCTTGTGTGGGGGCGATCGATCGATGGGTCTGATCTGGAGGAGAGTGTCGGCGGACTCCGCGCCATTGCGCCAATCGGGAAAGAATTCTTCGCGTTCGTAATGGTAGATACTATACCATGGACCACACATCATGAGGATATTGATGACGTTCTGATCCGGATGATCACGAAAGCCCAGCCTAGCTTGGTTCCTTCTCTGCCGCCCCGTCCGGAAGAAGATGGTGGAGGCCGACTTCCGTCCTTCCACCGTGTCGGGGAGAGCCATGCCGATAGGTTTCACTTCTCCGATGAGAATGAGCTGATGTTGCCTATCAACTAGAGCAGGAACGGTGAAGATTAGAGCGTAGTCAGGAAGACAATATTCGACGACCTTGTTCTTGGGAGGTATTCGATGGATGAAAGGGTGTTGCGCCCCGCAGCTGAAGGCAGATCCTGCGATATTGAACGTTGCGCACCAGGTGCCGAGGATGTACTGCCACGGTCGGTACGAATAGAATTCCCACGTACATCGCTTCGGATCGTGTGCGTACTCGAACATGAGGTTCAGAGATTCAAAGAAGGTCGACTTCTTGATGACGATAACTTCCTCATCGTTCTGAAAAAGACTGAGCGTGACATTCTGTTTAGTACATCCACAGAAGAGCTCACCAAGACATTCTCCCAAATTGTACTTGGAGGCTGGGCGGCCGACATCGCGTTCATCTACGACCTGTAGAGCACCTGTGAATGAAGGTTGTTACTACAAGTGAAGATTTCGAGATACTCACCACGGCTGCAAACTTGTCGTTGGAAAGGAGAGTGGGTAGGTGGTGAAGTCGATTCGGCGGTGACGAAGTGGTCAGAGCTTCGAGTGCGGGATTGAAGGGATTCTTTAAGTACAAACCAACTTCATATTCTTATCGATCCCCATCGGTCGTGGATCACGGAGCTGATCGCTTTGTTCTCTCGGACTGGCAAGGCATGCGTTAATGACTGACGTATGTATATTAGTGAACAATGGATTGAGTGACCATGGTAGCTTCCATTCTGCATAAACCATGCCGCAACATGTTGGTCGGACAATGATGGAAGGAGACGAAACCTGAAGCGAAGAGTGCTGATCAGAAGCTAGCCTTATCAGATGAGGTGGCACTGTGTCAGGTGTATGACTTGTCCGCTGATGCTTGGGGCTCGCCTTTGTTCGTTCCGCAAGGATCAGACATGGACGACCGCGCGCATTGTCGGCCATTTCGTTCACTTCATTGTTTCGAGCGCTTTCTTTGGTCACGTGCATGTGGGAATGTCTGCCCAGTTGGCCTTTTGATGAAGTCGCGTCTCGCGGTGGCGTTCGACCTCATCGTTCTTCTACACCTCCAACATCACAAGTATGGCTTCCGTCGCGCCGTCGCAACAAGCAACTGCTTCTCCCTCGACCCCCACTGCTGCTCCTAATGAGACGGCTTCCGAGATCTCTACCGAGATCGCTTATTCGAACCCAACCAATTCAACGCGTACACTCGTACCCGACGGAAAGGCATCACCAGAAGTCTCCAAGCGTCCCAAGCTGCCATTGCACAAATTTATATGGGGGGTCAGTTCTTTGCCCCGCTCGCTAACATCTCCGACAACTGACAAAGCAACGCAGGAGAAAATCATACGGAATACTCTCCCACAGGCTGCTATACCTCCCTGGCTCGATCCCCTCCACGTAGATGTGGACGACCCCAAGAAGCTTCCTCTGTGCTGGTACGGGGTTGAATTTCTGTCCGATCTAGTCTTCGACTACGCAGAACGCATCGGTCTCGCCGCCTATCTCAAATTCACCCTCGGCCACATGAAGGAGGGGGACCTGGACCCATTCGAGACGTGGATCAGATTCACCGACTGGTTCGAGAACAAGTCGGGACTAAAACTAGATCTGATCAAGGTGTGGGGACATGACGTCCCTATTATGACCGTGTTCTCGAACCACGAGATCCCTCGTATTACGGATCAGATGTGGCGGGACGCCTGCGACTTGCTAGACGATATGGAGTTTCCTGACGAGTTCCAACTCGAGTGGTACTTGGATCGCAGACTGGCAGTGAGTGTTTTTGCTATGTGACCCAATGGCACGCCTTGACATCTGCTATCAGTACTAGAATTTCTCCTAGATCCGCTCGCATCGTCCATGATACGTAATCCGTGACGGACATCCATGTGCCACACCTACTGTGCCGCTATGAGCGGATGAGATTTGTGTGCATTATCATGCCTCCTCGTACGTTGTGTTGTACAATAATAACCACTACCATCTTGGGGTCGGTTCCCCTCTATCGTTTTGCTATGTCCAACATGCTATCCTGTTATCCTTCAAGCCGTATCAGTTTGTGTATCGTGACCACCGCCCATAGGAAGTAATTCACACTCGTCTCCTGCCAAATGACTAACAGAGGCGTCGTAATCCTATCATCCACAACTCATCTCAATGCCCGTCCTTTTCGAGTCTGTGCCGCCCGATAGTAGGAGCTCAACCCAGCCGTAGAGGCAGAGGTACTCGCACCGTGCAGCTCCTCCGCCACTGACGCCGGTGAAGCCTCCTCCAACAGTAGCATCATTCTGTCCTCACACAGAGGCGAATCGTCCGCGACGTCCACAGCCGTTCAACCGCCCTCGGCAGTTCCTGGCACTGAAGAACCTAAATAGCCATGCGAAAGTTTGTACTATGGGGGGTCAGTCCTTGCCTCCGCTCGCTCACGTTTCCGACACAACTGACAAGGCAATGCAGAACAAGCTCGGGCGGAAGACCCTCCCACAAGCGTCTATACCTCCTTGGCTCGACCCCCTCTCCGTAGATGTGGACGACCCGAAGAAGCTTCCTCTGTGCAGGTATGGGGTAACCTTTTGCACCGACTTAGTCTTCAAATTCGTGGAGTGCATCGGTGTCGCGGCCTACCTCAAGGTCGAGTTTGGTCACTCGAAACCCGGCGACTTGCATGTATATGAAATGTAGATCAACCTCACCGACTGGTTCGAGCAGAAATCGGGTCTGAAACTGGATCTGATACAGGTGTGGGGTCATGACGTCCCCAATCTCACCATGTTCTCCAATCACGATATCCCTCGCATTATGGAGAAGATGTGGCGCGACGCCTACAACTTGCTGAGTGGTATGGGATTTCCTTGGGAGTATCAGCTGAAGTGGTACTTCGACCGCAGGCTGTCGGTAAGTGCTTCTGTTCTACAACGCAATTTGGCGTCCTAACGTCTGCTACCAGTACTAGATCCCCTCCATGGTCGGTTGTGCGTTGTTGTCCTTTCTTCTTCCCTCCTCTGTACCATTATTAGTTGACGGCTGCTCTAACACGCCAATTCGCTTCTCGTTTTGTACACTCATCAATACTATTGACTTGACACCTGCTCTTTTCCGTGGTTTCCATTTCCATCTATGTAGATTGCTTTCATCAAGTTTTGCGATATTATAACTGTCGTTGCGGCGGGTTGTGTTGCTGTACTCTACATGTTTTGCCAACGTTCAGGAAGCTGTACTATCGTACAACACATAACGCTATCAGTAGTAGACCGTCTAACTGTTCTTATACCGCGCTGTCCTCAAAAATGAGCTAGTTTCGCTTGTCAACTAAAGCACGATTCGTGGAGCAGACCAGAGCATAGTCAGGAAAACGATATCCGAATACATCTCTCTTGGCAGTTGGTGACATACAAAGATGACAGGGGCTGGCCGTGTGGTATCAGTAGCGCACTGGCGTGCGAAGACGAGAGATCACTCTAGTACTGGCATCGGATTTCAGGGCACAATATTGGGTCAAGGAGCAGAAGCACTCACCGCCAGCCTGCGATCCAAGTACCACTCGAGTTGGAACTCGTCAGGAAACTCCATGTCGTCCAGCAAGTCGCAAGCGTCCCGCCACATCTGATCCGTAATACGAGGGATCTCGTGGTTCGAGAACACGGTCATAATAGGGACGTCATGTCCCCACACCTTGATCAGATCTAGTTTTAGTCCCGACTTGTTCTCGAACCAGTCGGTGAATCTGATCCACGTTTCGAATATGTCCAAGTTCCCGGCCTTCATGTGGCCGAGGGTAAACTTGAGATAGGCCGCGAGACCGACACGCTCTGCAAACTTGAAGAATAGATCGGACAGGAATTCTACTCCGTACCAGCACAGAGGAAGCTTCTTGGGGTCGTCCACATCTACGTGGAGGGGGTCGAGCCAAGGAGGTATGGTAGCTTGTGGGAGAGTCTTCCGCACGAGCTTGTCCTACGCTGCTCTGTCAGATCATGTATGTGTCGGGAATGTGACGGGGCTGAGGCAAGGACTTACTCCCCATACAAATTTGCGTAATGTTAGCTTGGGACGTTCGGAATTTTCGAGGGATGCCCTTCCGTCGGGTCCGAGTGCAGACGTCGAGGCCACCGTAGTCGAAGAAGTCATGAAGCCGGTAGCATTCGACGGAGCCGACTCATTAGAATCAGCACTGGCAGTTGAGGGAGGAACAGAATGCGGTCGCAAATTCGCAGTGGGTTCCATGTACTATTAGGTGAAAGGCCGCCAAGGACTCGAATGAGGAAGAAAGGGCCACTGCGACTTCTTGAAGCTGCCAGGCCGACCACTCTTCCAGGCACGTGACCATTATCAGGCGCCCGGAGTAATAGACTGCTAAGTACAAATCCGGGCTAACGATATTCTACTGCTGTCGACATTGCTCGTCCACATCTAAGCCATGTGTATAACAAGAACAACAAGGACCGGACGGTAGGAATGGTGCAAGCGTTGCCCGGGGTGAGCATGGTGACCTCTAGTTACTTACCTACGTCGAGTTGCTTCACTGTGGGAAAACATGTGCGGCGTCGTTCGAGCAGCCCACCGCAGCTCCTGAGTCGTTGCGATCCGATTTACCCCACACAGCGCCGACTTATACGAATCCGGGGGCACATAGTCGTCCTGCAATGTGACAGAGCACATCGGACGCCCTTGCTTCAAGGCACACGAATCAAGGAAGAAGGTCTGGGGCCCGTATGGTATCCCTATTTGATTACTCCCATTTCGTCACCAAATACAACCCGAAGTAAAGAAAGATAAGCATGGCCTAGCCGCCTCCCGTGCTCAATTGTTCTTATGGTGGTGGTGTTTGCCCGGTGCGGCTGTCGAAGTCGCCGTAACCGTCGCAGCGTCCGTGGTCGCTGCAACCGTAGAAGCAGCCCCATCAGTTGAGGTCGCGTTGCCGCCCGTGGCCGCAGAGCCAGTCACGAGCGTGAGCAGCTTGTTGAAGTCGGGCGTGCCGAGCCCGGTCACGGCGTCCCAGCCCTCAACCGCGGGGAAACCGTCCGTGCCGCAGCCGGGGTTGCTACCGGACGTGATGTCGTTGAGCGCCGCGGCGCCGGACGAGTAGAGGAGTGGGTTGAGGAAGCCGAGGGGCGACTTGCCCTGGTTGAGGAGCTCATCGTTGAGGAGCGCAACGACGGACGCGAACGTAGGGGACGACGCGGACGTGCCGGACACGCCCTGGCCCTGGCCGCCGATGTCGACGACAAAGTTGACGCCCTGCGCGGAGACGTCTGGGAATGCACGGCCCTGGGGGTTGAAGAGACCCTGGTTCGTGGTGCCGAGCGTCTTAAGGTAGCCCGCAACGGCGTCGGCTTGGTAGTCGGGCTGCGCGAAGATGTTAGAGAAGCCGCCGGAGGAGAAATCGGCGGCGGTTTCCTTGATGCCCTGGGTGCTGCCAACAGACGTCAGGCTAGAGCAGCGAGGACTATCAGCGAACACAGTGCAGAGAAACGAGGTCGTAGCATAGCTCACAAAGGACAACCAGACGGAAAGGTGGGCTCAAAGGCTTGACCGTCACAGGCGTCGCTGGCCTGAGGACCAGAGACACCACCATCGCCGGAGGCGAACAGGATGGAGGTACCGCGCGCACCGAGTTGGCCATAGGCGTTGCAAAGGTTGCTGTAATGCGCAGCCGAACATGAGCACATGAATACGGGCTAAGGAGCAGGCGATGCCCTTACACAGCAAGGTCCTGCTCTTGCACAAAGCCGAGCTCGTTGAAGCCGAACGAAGTGGTGAGAACCAAAGGAGGGTTGTCTTCCGCGAGGAGGGAATTGATGATGTCGAGGAAACCGGTCAGGTCGCCGTCCTGGTTCTGGTCACCAACGGAGATGAACGTCGTGGGGACGTTGGTAGCAACACCGACGGTGTATTGGATATCCAAGGTCTGAGAATGCTTGTTAGGTAGCGCAGAAAGTCGCTCAGGAGGTGTAACCTACAGCTTCCGTAGTGCCCGGGGAGCTCGTGTCGGCGTTGCCGCCGTCGACACTAACGGCGTCGAAAGTGCCGTCTGTAGCGTCAGGCCGGAGAACCGACAAGAATTCCTGAAAGCGAGATCAATACTGTTGCTATAGGATGAACACTAGTCGTCCTCACGGTGAGGTCATCCTGGTTTGGGATCTCGCCACCGAAGCCGCTGACTCCAAGGCTGTTGCCAGCGGCGGATGCGGGAGTGGTCGGGATGTTGTACAGCTGCTGCAAGCATGAGGGAGTGATCTGAGTGTCGCAGGAGGCATCCACGGCACGCTTCGAACGGCTCCTCTTCGAGGCGCGGGGAAGGTCGACAGCCTTGAAGATAGGGCCGTTCTTCTTAGCGGGTTCAATGAACCTACACCACCGTTTCAGAAGTTGGAAAGGCATCAAGACATCAGGCGGGCTCACTGAGTGGTTGGGTAAACGAACGCCAGGTGACCCTTAAGCGTTTCAGGGACCGAGTAGGTGAGCGTCCTAATGGCAGTCTTGTTCGACGCATCGTGCGTGTACTCGTTGAAGTCGGCGCTTAGGAGGGCATTCGCCTTGCTCACGGGCACGTTGATGCTGAGCCAGTCGCCCGCGGGCGAGATAGCCTGAGCCGTGATGTTGTTGTTGCTCAACCACGTCTTCACCTTCTGGACACTCTCCGCCGACGGAGCAACCAGAGCCTCGACCTGATCAATCATTGAATTGCTACCCACGAATAGACACGATCATGAATGTAAGAACGCACCTCCGCCTTGGTAAGGTGATGGCCGTAGTTCTCGCTGGCGGGGTTGCTAACGTCGTAGAGCGCCTTCTCAAGGCCAGTAGCGTTGTTCTGAACAAGAGCAATACGCAGGTTCAGAGACTGTTCCTGGCTAGCCTTTCCTAGGTATGAGAAACCACGCGGGACGTCCTGGACGGCGCGCACGACATGGCGACGCTCTTGGAGGGAGGGAGCGGCAAGGGCGAGAGAGAAAAGAGAGGAAAGAACGAGCAGACCGGCTGCAACCATTTCGAATTGGTTAGTGAACGAAAGTGGAGAAAGGGAGGGAATCACGGGTGACCTGGAGGGGAAAAGGTGCGTTGTTCGCCCGGAGGCCAAGGATATTTAACGGAAGCAGGATTGCATCCTCCAACCGTCGTCAGGTTGCATCACCATATGATCGAGCAAAGCCTTCTGCGCTGGGTGGTCCGCGAGGCCGGCTCGAGGCGTTTTGTTTCTTAGGCACCGGCCTTGGCGAATGTTCCGCCGCCCCGGCTGTGCATTTTAGGCTGCACACATGCTCGTCAATCTGGAGGCGGATAGGTTTGGCGCGCAATAGAGTATGCCTCTGCAAGAGCAGACATCCTCTCGAGCACCTACCTATCTCGTTGATACGAGGATCATAAATCGCTTGGTTTGATGGATTTGCAAGATGCCTCAGAGATGATGGTCTGTTTGGCTTGTAGGGCGGAGGCGCGTGGGAGCGATTCCGAGATGCCGGAAGAAACTGAAAGCGCCCGAGCGTGCACGACTGCGGAGGCACTTGGCATCTGTCGCTCGTCTGATGATCGTGATCTGCCAGCGGCCCATAAGTACGAATGTCGAGATTTGTGCTCGAGCAAATATTACCGTCGTCATGCTGCAGGCGAACCAATATGGTCATCTGTGGACCGTCAGAATCAGAGCGGATACAGCAGCAACTTCCACCCCGTAGATCGGCCCCGCGCTTTGACCGACGTTGGTGAAGGAAATAGCTCGTGTCACGAGAACTATCGCTGTGCTTCCGGCCCGTGTGTCATTACATGAAATGTCTCACCACAATTACTTGACTGCCCATACTGGTATTTGCAGTGAACTTGAGAAGTTTACGCGCAATGCCTGCGACGCTGCATGACTTCACTGTCGTTATTAGGAATGGTTGGAGGATCAGGGGTGTCAGCATCGCATTGTTCAGTTTGCTCTGCTCACTCACCTCAGCGTCGGGTCGCAAACGACCCCGACGACAACCCTTTTGAGTCGGTGGCACCGCATCGCGCCCCCCGGACGCAACCGCTGTTTCTCAACGGCACACAACCCCACGAAGGGGAGAGCGGGAGAAGGTCACCGTTGATTTCCAATCCAGTACTCAACAATGGGCTAAAATACAGCAAGTCGCTCTGACCAAAATCCGATCCGTCATAGATGTCGTCCGCTCCGCGATCCAAGAACTAAATACCAGAGCAAGCAACGGTTCCCTACCGTCTACTGCGCCGCCTGCTGCTCCTGCTGCTGCTCCTTCGCCCCCTGCTGCTTGGCCGCCTGAGCGCCCTTGTGGTGCTTCTTGCCCTTACCGGTCCCCGCGGCAGCGGTACCAGTAGCAGCGGCGCTGTCGGTCGCAGTGGCGTCGGAGCTGTCAGTCGCAGTTGCGGTCGCGCCCGCGGTGTCTGTGGAGCCCGCACCAGTGCTGTCGGTCGCGGTCGCGACAGAGGTGTCGGTCGCAGTCGCTACGGAGGAATCCGTCGCGGTCGCAACAGAGGTGTCAGTGGCGACGGAGGTGTCGGTCGACGCAGAGCCACTGTCGGTGGCTGTTGCGGTGCTGTTGCCCGACGCGCTGTTGTCCCCGGTATCGGTGCTGTTGTCAGAGCCCGATGCAGCGCTCCCGGTGACGAGCGTGAGGAGCTTGCTGAAGTCGGGCGTGCCGAGACCAGTAACGGCGTCCCAGCCCTCGACCGCAGGGAAGCCCTGGGTGCCGCAGCCGGGGTTGCTGCCGGACGTGATGTCGTTGAGCGCCGCGGCGCCCTGCGAGTAGAGGAGCGGGTTGAGGAAGCCGAGCGGGGCCTGGCCAGCGTTCAGGCGCGCGTCGTTGAGGAGCGCGACGACAGAGGCGAAGGTGGGGGAGGAGGCGGACGTGCCGTCGACGCCCTGGAACTGGCCGCCAACGTTGATCGCGAATTGCACGCCCTGGGTGGCGACGTCGGGGAACGCGCGGCCGGAGGCGTTGAAGAGGCCCTGGTTCGTGTTGCCGAGCGCCTTGAGGTAACCTGCTACGGCGTCGGCCTGGTAGGAGGGCTGCGCGAAGATGTTCGAGAAGCCACCGGAAGTGAAGGGCGCCGCGGTCTCGGGGCTGTTGCCCTGGGTGCTACCAACGGAGGTCAAGCTGGGCGGCGAATAGGATTGTAAGCATCTTGTCGGTATTGGTACCAGTTATTCAACTCACTAAGGGCAGCCAGAGGGGAAGGTGGGCGAGAACGCCTGGCCATCGCAGTCGTTATTGGCCTGGGGACCAGATACACCACCGTCGCCAGACGCGAAGAGGACAGACGTGCCACGGGCACCGAGCTGGGCGTAGGCATTGCACAGGGTCCTGTACAGAGCGTGGCAACCGTCAGCTTTGCGCACCGACTCGCCAACAAACTCAAACCCAAACTCGATCACTTACTGAGCGAGGTCCGGCGCCTGCTCCGCGAAGGGCGCCTCATCGAAGCCAAACGAGGTCGTGAGAACGAGCGGCGGGTTGTCCTGCTTAAGGAGGGTGTTGATGATGTCGAGGAAGCCGCCGAGGTCGCCATCCTGGTTCTGGTCGCCGACCGAGATGAAGGTGGTAGGGACGTTCGTCGCCACGCCGACGGTGTACTGAATGTCAAGGCTCTGCAGATTTGCAAAGAGAGCGCGTTTCGAGTTGCGAATGGCGAAACAATGATCAATAAGACACGTCAAGGATAGAAGTGATCTGCCATGTGCGACGTACCGCCTCGGTTGTACCCTGACCATCATCGCTACCACCATCGACATCCTGAACAGCGAACGTGCCGTTGGTGATGTCAGGACGAACTTGGGCAAGGAATTGCTGTGTGAGCGCGTGTATCAGTACCTTGAAAAGAGTGTGGTAACAAAATGCAAACTGTCACGAACCGTAAGATCATCAGGGTTCGCAACCTCGCCGCCGAAGCCACTAACTCCCAAGCTGTTGCCCGAGGCGGTCGCAGGCGTCGCGGGAATGTTGTAGATCGCCTGCAAGCATGCCGGCGTGATCACCTGAGCACACTCGGAGGGGATGTCCGCGCGCCGAGAGCGAGAGCGCTTGGAAACGGCAGCTGGGGGTTGAATGGCCTTCACCTGGACCTTGTTGTTCGCAGGGGGGATGAACTGCGTCGTCGGGTAGATGAACGCGACGTGGTCGTGGACGTCATCGGGGAGCGAGTACGCGAGCGTGCGGACCACGGTCGTGTTCGAGGCCTCGTGAACGTACGAGGTGAAGTTCGCGTTCAGGAGGGCGTTCGCTTGCTCAGCGGGGATCTGGATCTCCACCATATCCCCGGACGCGGACGTCGTCGTGGGCGTGATACCATTCTTACTGAGCCAAGTCTTGACGGCGTTCGAGCTCTCCGCAGAAGGAGCAACGAGCTGCTCGACCTGTCGGCGCGAGGCATACCGTTAGCGTGAGAATGGGCGCTCAATTCAATCATGATCGAAGAACATACCTCTGCCTTGGAGAGATGGTTGCCGTAGTTCTCGGACGTCGGGTCACTGACGTCCAGGAGGGATTGGTGAAGACCGGAGACATTTGACTGGGGCAGAGCAATCGTTAACCGGAGCATGCCAGGCGGGAGGAGCGGGAAGCCGTTGCCCTTGTTGAAGCCGAAGGGAACAGCCTCACGCTTGTCGCGGACGACAAAACGAGAGTGCGTCGCACTGGGCCGGCCCAGCGCGAGCGTAATGAGGGCAGAAAGAGCGAGCAGACCTGCTGCAACCATTTTGATGAAGAGTACTAGGAAGGTGAACTGGAAAACGAAAGAAAACGGTGACCTTGGGAGAACAGGTGAGGTGCTAATGCGTCGAGAGCCCCATTTTAAAGGCACCTCGAGGGCGCTCGAAGAACTGATGTACTCGCCGGACCCTCGATCCCCTGTAGCGAGCACGGGTTTGCGGTGCAGCCTCGTCGTCAAGCCCTCAAAATTAGAGTCGTCAGTCATCCCGGTAGATGATCAAGCGAAGGCGTACCGTGGGCTATTTTTAGACCCCAGTCGACAGCGCACCATGCAAATCCTGCGGTTTACGACACTGCCGCTCCACAACATCAGTTGCCTTGCTTTGCGACGGCGATGAGAGGCGAGACGAAGCGGCGGCCGAGTTCCCCAGCTTGCCGCATTGACCGTGATGTACTGCGCTGAAGTCAGCTAGAGATGGCGACTTGGAGGCCGCACAGAATGGAGTACAGATCATGCCACGCCGTAGCTGGTCGGTGCCGGTATGCAGCTTCTCAGGGTTACCATCGTGGACGGACAGGCACTTACATTCATAGCCCAGAGCCGTGCACAGATGACAGATGGAAGCAGTGATATCAGGATACCCGCCTTGTTGAAATGAATGGTTCTACCACCAGTCTGTGAGGCATATGCGCATGAGTGGCACCGCATGTGAACGGAAATGTAATACCCAGGTTCGCATCCCCGTCTATGTATATCTGGGTTGGATACTCTGCTGTTCAAGTTCCCGCCTTTGCGCAGTATGAAACGCTGCAGGATCGAACGACAGACTTACGGTGCATGCTCCCATCCTCGTCCACAGCTAACGTGTTGTCCACATGTTGTGTACTTCAGAGAACTGACAAATGACCACTCGGATGCGATAGACATGCCCGTGAGGTATGGATTATGAGGCGATAGGTTCTGCGTCAGGGCCATAACTTCAAGGTGAACTTGAAGGCATGGAAAGCCGACTGAGGTTCAGTTATATCCATACTCTTTTTTGGCCCCCTTCAAGAAAGGGCTTATAGCTCAGTGGTAGAGCATACGATTGCAGATCGTGTGGTCCCGTGTTCGAACCACGGTGGGCCCTCACTTTTGACTCAAAGGCTGTCCAAGGGAGAAGTGTCCTCGATATGACACTTTTTTTTATCGAGTGGTGCCGCCTGAGGATGCAGCTGACATTGGTTGACCGAGAGGAGTAGGGTGAGACACCCTATGGCTATACTGTCTGCGAAATGAGTTCTCAGATTCCTGAAGCATAATTTAGCTGCAGCGCGCTCGCTTGCCCGGATCTTGGGGGATGGTAGGGTTAGGGGCGCAGGCACATACACTGAAGCAGGCGTCTAAAGGTACTTTGTAGATCGTCGTTCAAGGCCATCACCACGACTCCTCAAGTTCACTATGGAGCCTCCAAGAAAACGCTCGAGGTCATCAGAACCCGTCTCCACATCAAATGAGACGCAAACGAGTGACACAGGGCACCCACGCTGCTATCTGACCCGCATGCCACTCGAATTGCTCGCCGAGATACTATCCTACACCCTATCGCCCCGCGATATCCTCGCTCTTGCGCGGACAAGTAGGCATTTCTGCACTGTGCTCGTTAACAACAAATCTACGGAGTTCATCTGGCGCCAGGCGCGCGCGAGGGCAGTCCCGACTCAGATCCCCGACTTCACCCCTAACTTCACCGAGGCGTCTTACGCCTCTTTCTTGTTCGACAGCAAGCACTGCGAGGTAATCCTGATGTAGAGCAACATCACTCGCAGAGTCATGGCTTTTGACCCGTAGTTTCCAGATTTGCAAAAAGAAGACACGCGAAATGTATCATTCCTTCGCTCTCCGTGCCGTCGTCTGTGACAAGGTGCGCCCTCAGGCCTTTCTCTGTGGCTGATCTCATCCACCAACTACCATGCGATAAGCCGAACTGCCGCGAATTGTGGAGGCGGGTTATAGGCGTTGACCTCCCCCTATCTTATGTTGATCACGTATAACAGATCGAGGGTACTCCTCCAGATAACCCCAGAAGACGAGGTCAAATATCCCGAGTTTCTGCACTGGATACCTCGCTTGGAGCGCACAGAAGGTAGGTCTCTCTTCATCTTCAGAAAGAGAGCAGGCTCCCTGCATCAGATGCCTCCGGTGGCAACGAGCTGCTCCAGAGACCCGCCAGGATGGTATCGCGATGTATGATGTCCGTCGTTCAAGGCGAACGAGTGCTACGAACGCGCGTCTTGGTCTGACTGGAGTCGTACAGTGCACCTTGCCAGATATGAGCTGTTCGCTACCCAGTGTCATCGGGGGCTGTGTGATCCAGGTCCGTCACCATCGGACCGGCCAGGTCTCATGTGCATGGTCGGAAACTCAGCATCCCCCCTGGGCCTTCAGTTGCTCCTTACCTTGCTTGACGTGATAGTAGGGCGGAACAATCTGACTGTCCGATACAGAGCCCTATGGCAAAAAGATCTACGTGCGGAAATCTGACTGGCAACAAGCAATCAACGAGCACAAGAAGATCCACATCCTCGGCGGCCCCGCACTTCAGGCGTACGTCACGGAGAAGCAGGCGTTGGCGGACGCTCTCCCTGCCAAGCTTGAGGTGAGTGTCCTCGCATAGCCAACCTGTCTTCGCAGACTAATCCGAGGGAGCGGCCAGTTCAGCAAGGCGTTGGCGACATGGGGCATGCTCTACGAGATCATACGGGTGGAGACCCTGCAGAGAAACGACAAGACGTGAGCCCTGCGTCCATGAGTCCTCACACGGTCGCTCAGACCGCGTTCGCTTAGGGCTATAGCTTTAGCAAAGCGGCTCCAGTGCGAGATCCGTGACCTGCTCCATACGCCGTCCTACAGTGCCATCCACAACGCCAGGAATCGCAACCTTGAGCTCGTGACTCCTCAAGGTGAGTGCTTCCTATCTCTCCAGGGCCCAGTATACATCCCGGTATCTTATTACACGCATGATACAGACATTGGCGAAGTGAAGGACCTGATCAAAGGGGAGATGGAGGCTCACAAAGAGCGCGAGGCACATCGGAAGGAAGAGCGCGCTCTGCAGGGGCGGCTCGAGGAAGTCCAAACCACGTGGAACGACCTCAGGGCCAGCTCGGCGACGAAGGAGTTGACCAAAGGAGCTATCCCTAACGTGAACGAGTTCCGCAAGCTCTCCGTCGTTAAGATCTACCAAAAGTCCGGGATCGGGAAGGAGCGCAGTCTTGGCGATCCGTTCGTCGCTTCTGTGCTGGCGGAGAACCTGGACCAGTGGCGGGACGCTGCGCGGGCAGGCCTCGCCGCTGTGCTCGGTTTTCCCGGATGGAAGAACCTGAGCAAGAAGAAGCTGCACCCTGTAGATCGCCTCACGGCTAGATTCCGATGCCAAAGGTGCGATAAGGTTGCAAGCGACAACAAGGTCTGTCTCCCAAGTCTCCTAAACTTCGCCGTCGATTGACCAAATCGATTCGTTCTGTAGATCGTTCTCGATGATGGAGGGATGGACTTCGCGGAGGCATGCAGGCACGTTTGCGACCATGTAAAGAAGAGGAAACGGAACAAGGAAAAGTGGAGCGCGGAGCGGTTCGTCCCAGATCAGCGCGTGAGCATTTCGCTTCTATTGCAAAGAGACGGCCTCGGAGCGTTCGCTCACTGATCTTTGCCTCGAAGGCTGTCGATGCGATCTGGCAAGTGCTCTCCCTGTGCGGTGCTACGTCGGAAGACGTCGATTCTATTCGCTTAGCCGAAGAAGTCGGAGATCGCATTCAGTGTCAGTCCTGCTCGTGCGTCATGGACGTGCGGAGCGTTGTAAGTGAGTCGTCCCGAGTTACCGGTTGTCATCGCTGAAAGCTTGCTCGCAGGCTCGGCACTGCAAGCGTCACGTCGACTGCAGCTTCGCACTGCTTCCCGTCGAATTGTCGCCGACTCGGCCGATAGAACACGGACTAACGCGAAAGCTGATGCGACCAATCTCGGAGGCTGCTGGGGCAAGAGATCTAAAGCTGTACGGCTGCAGGCATTGCGCGCGAGCTGCTACCGAGGCCGTCACCGACAACAAGCAGTCGCGCAAGGTGTTCAGCTTCAACGGGCTGAGATCCCACCTCAAGGAGAAGTATGCCTTCTACGCTCTCTTTGTCTCCGACGTTGCGTGCTGATGCGCCGCCGGTCTATGTAGACACTCTATCCTACGGGTAGCGGATGAGGATTTCTTCCGCCAGAAGGACACCGCCGCCACAGACGCTAGTGCCATCAGTAACGATGCTTGATGTTCACAACCTCGCTGTCAACCCCGCATTTCCCCGCCCTGACGACCCCAATTCCACGGCAGCCGTAGCTCATTGCTTGTTGTGTGCTAACTTGAGCATATCGTGTCCCCCAGCTTGAAGTTGCTTGGAGCTATTTTCGCGAACAGTTGGCCCTGGACGGGGCTACATATATAATGCTGCTTGATTTCTATGTTTGCATTTACGGTCTCGTCATCTTAACCCCGGTTAGCGCCCGCTGAAGCCTTGTCGTAAGGCCTTTGTACCGATTTTAGATAGTTACCTACTACTCATCTTCGACGGAGATCCGCAAAGTTTCCCAACTACAATCATCTTGTTATCCGAAGTCAGCTCCACGCCCAAGAGACTGCTTCGCTCGCTTCCATCATGCGTTCGCCTCGTCACGCGTCCAGCTATCTGAGGTCCGCATCAATCTTCGATGTTGCCGTCTCAGAGGTGGCGCATGGTCGACGACGGGCCTATGGGGTGCGGAAGTCGTCCAGCGGGTATCGTCGAAGTCTTCTACGTCCTCATCGGCTATTCACCGAGGAACCAGGTCGTCCGAGGGTACACAAATAGGTCGCATTGAATGTAATGCGGAGACAGGAACACCATCCTCTCCACGGCCGGGCCACAGATAGCAGGGGCCCGACGCTTGCTGTAAAGGTCCGAGTGACACTCCTTTCCAACATCAGAATGCAATCATACGCTCGCTTCCTATCATGTGAGCAAGCGCATGGACCCTCACCTTCTGTGTGGCGGACTCTGACCATTGCTCAGATCGCAGGCATCGAAAATAAGTGGTCACTGGACAGGCACCCTGCCTCAAACGCGCTCTGGAGGTGAAGCGATGTTGACGGAGGTTGTCAGGTCGAGCCGACTATGACCTCGTTGCCGCGTGCGCCTGGGCACATCGGCCAGGCTCTACATGAGAGACACGGAAGCCGATGACGGTTCCCCGCCGTATATAAGATCACGCCCACACGCGCGTTCAGCGGCCTCCTGTCGCGTCCTCTCCCCTTCTTCGTGGATTTGCCGCCTACCGGAAGGTCGCCATGGTGTCTTGGTCGCTCCGCACTTCGGTCGTCGCGCTCGCGTGTGTCTCCGGCACCCTTGCTGCCAACATTCAAAGCCCCTTCGTGATCTTGCCTCTGGATGCTCCCATACACAGGCAGAACGTCAAGAACATCTTCTTGACGAGCTGGGACGCGTATAAGTGAGTGCCACTACTGAAAACGCGTCTTCCCAGTATTCTCAGGCAATGTCGCTCCCGCATAGGCAGTATGCGTACCCTCACGACGACCTGACCCCCATTTCGGAGTCTTGGACCGATGGCCGCAATGGTTGGAGTGCGTCGCTCGTGGACGCCCTCACCACTCTCGTATGTCGTTTGTGCCGCACGTACGCAGGGATGAAGAAGAGAACTAACAGTCTCGTAACAGGCTATCATGGGCGAGACGGTACGGCATATTAGATTCTACTGCCAACCTTCCACTCACCCGTGACGTACAGGAAATCTTCGAGGAAGCCGTCAACCACACCGCCACTGTGGACTTCACGATTGACCATTCTAATAGCACTGCTAGGTCGGTATATTGCTTGACTGTTATTGGGACTGCACTGACCTCCATGTCCTTTAGTGTCTTCGAGTCTACCATCCGTTACGTTGGCGGTATGCTCAGCGCATACGAGCTGACCAACAAGAAGTACCCTGTACTCGTGAAGCAGGCTCAGACACTCGCGGACAAGCTTTCTGCCGCATGGTCTCTTGTACGACTGCTTTTCGCACGCCACATTGATACCGACGCTGACAGCCAATACGTAGGGCAATGTTGTTCCCTACGGCGAGGTGGACGTCAACACCAGCACGCCAGCGATTGCGACGTCTAATATCGCTGAGGCGGGCACAGTGAGTGGGCCTCCAACTCTTTGCTGCCAGGGTGATCTGACATCTCTTCTTCAGCTGACCTTGGAGTGGTCACGCCTTGCGTGAGTGCCATCTCTCAAAAACCCCGATGGCAAGATTCTGATCTTCTGGCCAGCGAGTACACCGGGAACGACACTTATCGGGCTCTCGCCGAAAACTCCGTGAGAACCATTATCGCTGAGGCAAGTGGCCAGCAAGGCTATCTTTGTCGAAATTTTGACCCATGTTCTCTTTATCAGCCAGATCCTATTCCCGGCTTCCCGGCTCAGGGTATTGACCCCGCGACCAACCAGCCCGTTGGTGCATACGTCGTAAGTAGCCACCGGCGGCCAACTGGGATCGTGGAAGTCCCTAAGGCTAACCTTCGCCACAGACCTGGGGCGGAGGATCCGACAGCTACCTCGAGTACCTAATCAAGTATGCTCGTCTCACGAACACCAATGATAACATCTTTGCGGACACTTGGGCTACCGCCGTCGATTCGTCTATTAGGACTCTTCTGAGGGTAATGCACGCGCTCTTACGCCTATGCGACTTTGCTTATCTCCACTCCACAGAAATCGACTGTCGGGAACTGGACTTACCTTGCCGATCTCGACGACAGCGGCACCATCCGCCACATTGGCTCACACCTCGCGTGCTTCATGGCTGGCAACTGGATCATGGGCGGTCAGCTCCTCAACAACCAGACCATTGTCAATCACGGTCTCGACCTCAACGAGGGTTGCTGGAACACCTATGCGAGCACGGCGTACGTCTATTGCGCCTTCATTTCCCCTAACTCCAATTTGACGTTGTTGGACGTACAGCACCGGCATTGGTCCGGAGGCGTTTGGCTACTTCTCTACAGATGGCAACTATACCGGATCGACCCCCTCTGAGGGCGACATTTCGTTCTACGACCAACATGGCTTCTTCATCCTCGATGGCTCCGAGTACTACTACATGCGCCCCGAGGTGCTCGAGTCCAACTTCTACGCGTGGCGCCATACGGGCAACGTCAAGTACTACGAACGCGCGATCTCCGCATACAAGAGTTTCCAGACGTATCTCAAGACGCCAACCGTCGCGTTCGCGCCGATCAACAACGTCAACCAGCTCGACTCTGGCTTCATCGACGACATGGAGAGCTTCTGGTTCGCCGAGGTCCTCAAGTACCTATACCTCACCTTCGACGATCCCAACCACATCAGCTTGGACAAGTGTACGTACACGTTCGCTCCGTATCTTCCGTGCGACATATCGTTGACATCACGTATGTTCCCCTGCAGTTGTCTTCAACACTGAGGCGCACCCGTACATCGCGCCCCCCGCGAAGGCGTCCTACGGTAGCGGCAAGTTGCGCGGCCCCGCGTCGACGCCGTTCAAGCCCCTCTCTGGCAACCTCCCTCTCGTCAGCGCAGCCGCCAAGCTTCCTGTGAAGGAGCCGAACTGAACAGTTATCCCGCGTATACCGCTGCAGTTCGTTCTCCTGCAGGCTGCGCGTCCTACGACTTTATGCGTTGCGACCACGTGTATCATATCGTTAGCTCTGTACTTGCTGTGTAGAAGACCTTAAAATAGAGTACAACGATGCAACGAACTCTCGATATGACTTTGGACAGGATGAGTCTGAACATATGACTACGCACTCTGCCTCGTCTTCCTTGTGCCCTCATCCTCAAGACCCAAGACCCGACCCCGTCGAAGCTCTCCTCGACCTCTGAGGGGACGGCTGCAGCTCAACCACAACCTCGTCCGCGTACGGCGCCAACCTAGCAGTAACGTTCCTCTTCACCTCCTCCAAGTCGACCTCCTCCCCCACAAGCCCATGCAGCCTCTGAAACGTCGCCTCCAGCCTCTTCAACCGCAGCCCCTTCTGTGCGCGCCTCGCCAGCGCCTTCTCCGCGATCTCGCACGCCAGCCCAAACTCCCCGTCCGCCCAGCCCACGGTCCACTTCAGGACCAGATGCTCGAGCGCGGGGCACGGCAGCTCCGCGTTGACGTCCTGCGCCGACGCCGCGGTGAGCGAGTGGAAGAAGTGGTGGCACTTCCTCGTCATCTTCACGTACCGCACGCGCGGGAACGCCGCGAGGAGCGCGTCCATGCGCGGGCCGTCGACGTGCGCGCTGTACGCCGCGCTCTTGAAGCCGAGGTACAGGCGCGTCACGGAGGGGGCGGTGCCTGTGGGCGCGAAGACGGAGAGGAGCTCGGGCACGACAGAGACGCGCGCGGGGATGCCGGTGACGAAGGAGAGGCGTTCTGCGCCGCCGGCGTGTGCGCGCGCGGTGCACTTGCTCTCGTTCGTGTTCACCTCGAGGCTCTCGAGCGTGGAGATCAGAGGGAGGGAGCCGAGGGCGTCTGGGAGGAGACTTCCTGAGCGAGGGTCGCACTCGAACTTGAGGAGCACCGTGGGCGGGAGGACGAGGTGGCTGATGATGGCGGACAAAGGCTCGACAGGATATTTTCCAAACATGAGCTTGTCGAGCAGCGGGAGGGGAACCGGAACTTGTGAGATTGCAGGGGTGTCGACAGGGAGTCGCGGCTCTGACTCTTCTAGGAACTGCAAGCTCAGCAAAGACGGGCACCTCCGGAGCACGGACAGAATGGTATCCAATGAGGTGGCAGTACAATCCATGCACACACATCCACCAATGAACAGCGATTGTAACGTCGGTACGACCATGGCTGCTGACAGGAATACGTTGCTTATTCGCAAGGATCGGAGACGTGGCAGCTTATCCTCTGTGCACTGGACAGATAGCATCATAGCTCGGTCCTCCTCCTGCATTATGCCAGAGTTCTGTTCGTGCTGGATCGCAACCTCCCTTAAGTTGGGCATGCCATGGCTGAGCAATAGATAGATGTCCGTGATCTGCTTCGGTCCCACCGTAACAGTGAGCGACGATATGCGCTGCCCGTTCAGCGCCAATATGTCGGCAATGCGCATGGACAAGCTCCGGAAGGTGAGGGGGATAAGGCACGGCGCCGACCGCGCGAGGTACGTCTGAAACCGTTCCAGCCCAAGCGGTTCGCCCGCCTGCGCCCTCCGCACGACCGCAGAGACGCGGAGCATGTTCGCCCAGAACTGCGGCGTTCTGAGCGCGAGGTCCCGCCATCGCCGACAGACATGGAGGAGGTGGATGCCCTGGCACGTCTTTGGCCGCACGTGCCCGAAGATCTCCATGAGCAGCTCGGGGGGTAGGCGGCGGTGGATGAGCGACGCGTTGTTGTATGCGGCGCACAGCGCACGGGTGTAGCGCTCGTAATGCTGGATCTTGGCAAGGAGCCATGGCTGCGACTCCGAAGGGTCAAGCACCCGCAGAATTTGCTGGTCCTCAACAGCGAGCTCTGTCCAGGACGACGAAGGGTCGAGTCTGGGTGCGTCTCGCGAAGAGGGCATCTCCATCTACGGCCAATCGTCAGCGATCGTGCCAGCCCAGTTAGCACCAGAAAGGTTCTCACCGCGGCTGGAGCTGAGTGGCAACACCACGAAAGTTTCGATTTGGTTTGTGCTTGTGGGAGGGACGTGGCCGTGCAGCCTCGTGCTTTACGTGTAAATATGCAGAGATGGATTACGTGATCGCAATTACAGAACATGCGCGACATGCCTTGACGTTCGGGCCGTAGTGTGGTGTTAGCAGTTGTCTCAGAGACAGTTACAACCATTGTGCTCTGCATACTTAGCTCAGGAGACCCAGATCATCTGAACCATAGCCATATGCACCCGAACCGCCTTCCGTGCAGTCGCGCGCGTCGACAGCTGCCGACTTGTAAAGAGAGCCATCGCAAACTGGCACCAGACGTCAAACCGTACCACATGCGCGGCCCCAGGACTTGTTGTCAACAAAGGCGCAGTGGAGCTTCAGTGGCCGAGACGACATGCCAAGTGACATGAAGCATTGTACGGATCATACCTGCCACCCCAAGTTGAGCAAGCCGCGGCAAAGATGTGGAGATCGCACTTACCATTGTAGCACAAGAATGGCGGCACACCAGCCGTGCGATGATATATGCGAGGAGAGCGACTCACCTTATAGGTCACATCGACACCAACTACCCGGGGCTCTAGATGAACAATGCCACACAACCCATACGGTCCAAAGCAAGCTATGCTATAGCGAATATATATTACTCTCGTCTCTTCTCCTATCCAACAAATCCCATGTACACTACGCTACTTCGGAGAACTCTTGCCAAGCCGCCGCTCGCCCACCGCCGCTAGCGCACGCTTGCCCGCAATGGCGGTGGGGATGCTGAGGATCGCGCCGTACAAAAGGACCTGCCCGAGGTGGAGGTCGACCCAGTACCAGACGAGGAGGCCCTCGAACGCGCCGAGCGTTGCGATGAAGGGGAAGATGCCTGAAGAGAAAAGGTACGGGACTTGGGGGCCGATGTGTGCTAGCTGTGAGAGGTAGCAAGGAATGTATTAGTCCACAACACGTATATGTGTAGGAAGACCATGCGTTAGATGAGAGGAGGGTGAAGCATGGTTCTGGCCAGGATGCTCAGCGGCAAATAATGACAAGCCTCCACGACCAGGTTGACACGTGTGACCACACTTCACCTTATCCCATTCGCACAATGAAAGGAATGACGACGTACCAAGCCAAGAAGAACCACCCACGGAGCAGCGAGCAGGAGGGTGAAGACCGCGGACACAAACTTGGGGGGAACCTTCTGCTCCGGGCGGAACGTGTGGAAGATCTCAGGGCGGGGGTGGAAGAAGACCTCGTCGGCATGTTGTGCAGGAGGTTGTGAAGGGGGAACGAAGAGATCGAAGAGTTCGTATTGCGCAGGGTCGTGCTTGAAAGAGCCCAGGTAGAGCGAGACCTTAATTGGGTCTTTTCCGGATGGTGGGAGGGATGAAGGAGGGCGAGCCATGTTCTAGAGGGCTTATAGTCAGTCGATCTGCTAATGATTGTTGGTCGCGGTCTGAAAGAGACAGTCTTGACTATAGGAATTGCCGTCCCGCACAATTGTTAGCGCGTACACGACCGACGCCTATAAAGCATACACAAGAGCGATGGTGCAGATAGTCTGTTGTCAATATAGGCTGTCGCATGCAACTCAATCGCGTTGCGCACAGCCCTTCAGTCATGAAAGCCAGCAGCATATGAGCAGGATTAATGACGCATATACGCGTATTCTGTTACGACCTGTAGCCCTGAGACCCGATCTGAGACGTCATGCATACAGTCGTCTGTCGCATTGCATGGTACCCCACATATAGTCCATCACAAGTTCCTCCGTGGTTCCTTCCACCATGATCACGCCCATATATAGAATAGTACAGTGTACTCACCAGCTCGAGCTTCGCCTTGCCACCCGCGGTAACCTTGACAGGCTGGATACCCTCCTCACCCGTCACCTCATCATAGAACCGAACGAATGTCTGATGCGGTTGTACGCCTTTTCCGTCCTCATCGACGATTTGGAAGGTGAGCTTGAGTGTGTCGGTCGCTCTGAGCTCCACTGGCGGGGTGACTTTGTGCGCCAAGGAAAGCCTGCATGAAGCAGCCATTAGCGGAGCGAACGGTATCCTTAGGGGGAGTATGCGGTGGCTGAGACTTACGGTTCAGAGCGCAGCTGTGCAGCATCCGAGGAAGAGACGGTGAGACGTGGTGATTGAAGGGTGAGGACGGAAGCCTGCACGCCGAGTACGGCGAGAGAGGCCAAGAGCCAGGAGAGAGGGCCGACCATGGTGGACGTCGGCGGGAGAGTTGTGGGGGACGCGTCTGGCGCAGCACCGCGACGTGTCACTCCTTGCCGCCCGACTTCTTCGGAGTAGCGTTCTCGCGCCCATCCGGGTCTGCCTCTGGCTTGTCTGTGGTGGCTTCTCGTAGCGTCGTGTGTGTTGTCCTCGTTTTCTGCTCGCAATTCATCGACATGCACGCGCATACGCTGCTGGCTTTTCTCTCAAACACCTCGATTACTGCGAGCATGCCACAGTTGCCGTGACCAAAAGCCATATCCCGTGAGTCAATCATAGCAGGCGGGTTCAGCGATACACGTCGAGGCTTGCCTTCATTCCCCGTTCCGCGAAGGAGGCACAGCGTTTCACCATTGATGTCGGTCGATCCCTTGAATCCAGGAGAAGGCTGCACAACATAAAACCGCTCTGCTCTTTTGGAGGTGCGTCGTCCCCTTGTCGACTGCACTAAGAATTCGCCCATAAAACACTGAGCATTCCCGCTTCATTGTACGCTATCCGTCCTCGACCATGACCCACCGGGATTCGGACTTGGAGGTTTCCCCATCTGCCGAGCTGCGTCCAGACACTGCGGAATCTCCCACCATCCGGACAACTCCATACAAGCTCGAATCGCCTAGTATAATGGGTACATCCGAACCCTACGAAGCTACCTGCCGCATTTCTTAAAATCGTTGAAAATTCATAGCCTCCTCAGAGGACGGAGACATAGGGTCGTCTGCTACCAAACTCAACGAAGAGGACCAAGCCGCCCTTCGCAAATTACTTGACTAGGCGAAACCGTGAACGATAGCGAGGGTTGCGCAATACCAAGCAGGCATCCGCACGTTGTAGTCCTCTTATAATGCCTTCGCTCCAATCCACAGGGTACTCCTACAGAGCTTTTCATGGTGATCTTCGTGGATCTCACACCTCGATCCTGTCGTGCGTTCAGGCTCCTGCACGTCTGTAGTCACTGACGGACGATCCTCATGGAGTTGTACGACTACTGGTTGGCCCTCCTCTCTTCCTAGAGTTACATGGGATGCAGGGCCACGTAGTCTTCGCCTACAGGAGTGGAGTACGATCTTCAGCGGTCTCTTCGCCAGCTTCCTTCCCGGCCTCTCGGGCTTGTCCTCCCCTCCAGACCTCGTTCGCACCATTATCCTACACGGGGGACGGTTTTCTTCTATGTCACTCCCCGTCGCTACTAACTCAGTGGGCCGCCTGCGAATTGCGCTCCCGCGAAAGGTGCTACAACTGGAGACGCTACTTTTGCATCGCGGATGTGGCAGTTCCACCACTGGCACTCACGACAAGCTATCGCATGCTCGCTTCCAGTCCCACATCTCTTCGGAGAACATGCCTCGCCTTCGCACTCCCAGCGGACCTCCCCGCGCGGTGGGCGCTATTACCAGCTGAACTATCAGCGGGTGCGACCCTTACGCATGCCGGAGCTGGTGTCCGTACAGACAACCCGACTGCGGCTACACTACCCATGAACCTAATCTTCTTGGGGCGACGTTCGGCTTCCCGGACCCGTCTGCGCGTGATGGTAAACATCGAAGACGAGACTCCATCCCCGGCCGCCCCGTTGAACCCATTATGCTTGCCTCGCCTACGGAAGCTCACGAGTGGGAAGGCGAACTTGAATCCAGACAGGTGGACGCACGTCTGGCTCTTTGACCTCAATGTCGCCCTGGGCATCGACCAGGATCTATCGATTCTCTCCCGCTCGGTGCTCCTCTTACCCTCCAACCTCCCGACGCACCCTGCGCTCCCCTCCATCACGCTCACCATCTCACCTCCGACGCTCAGATGTTGCCTCCACTGCTACGTCGGGGATGCGCTGCCTCTCGATCTTTCACCGTAGAGCTGCATGTTCCCCGAACCTCACCGAGCTCTCCTTCGGGTGTGGCACATGTCCTGCAGAACATCGCGCCCGCGACAGCATGATGTGCATTGTCATTCTCCTCCGGCTCTGCCCCGTCTCGTTCGCCTCATGGTCGACAAGTTCAATGTTTTCCTTCCACAGGAATCCCTCGATGCCCTGAACCCAGATTTATCTTCGTCTTCGTCCTTGCTCTCGACCTGTCGTTTGCCCCAGCTGCTGCATCTGGCAATCTCGAGTGTCCCCCCTCGGCGCCCGATGCCCTGCCGCAGTGCTTCCATGGGCCTTGCGAGCGTGTTGAAAGCTCCCTTTATCGTCGGACGGCGGTGAGGCGTGCGCTGACGGATGTCGAGTGCCTTCGCGACGGCCTCGCACGGTTCGAGTAGGACGGTAGGGCGTACGACCAAGCCACCGCGCGTAAAACGCGGCCAAATCCCCCAACTCTCACAACACATCTTGAGCAGCCCATAGTAAACTTGGCCTTTGGAAGGTACCTCCAGAGCTTTGCCGAATCTCTCCGAGTCATCCCATGGACGGCGTTGAGGCCCGGTCACCAGCAACCGTCTGGAGATGCACTCCACGGCCCAGTAGTAGGTTCTTCATGCGAGCTCTTTGATGGAGGTGTGTCATATGAGCATTCGAATCTCTCGTCGGTCGCGCGATGCCCTCGCGATCTCACCTATAGTCGTTTGGATGCCCACCGAAGCGTCTTGCGCAATATGGTTCATATGCAACCGAGGTGGTTATACAATTTGACCCACAAACACTCCGCGCATCTGGCCTTCATCCTGACATCGGCTCCGTAAGCAACTGGAGGTGCTCAACATTGGAAATGGCTTCCTACCTCTCATGTGGTCTGGTGTGATGCACTCACACCCACGTCCCAACCGTCCCCGCGATATCTCTATAAAGCGGGACATCGCTCGAAGCCAGTAAGTTCTCCAGTTACCGGTCCTCCTACACACATCCCCTTTCTCCACATCTTACCTGATCACAGACACCATGTCTCTCCCACTCGCAGGCCGCGACGCCATTGTCACCGGGTCCTCGCGTGGCATCGGCGCCGTGATCGTGAAGCGTCTTGCGTCCCAGGGCGCGAACGTCGCCATCAACTACGTCGCGAGCGCCGCCGTCGCGCAGAGCGTCGCGGACGAGATCAACGCCAAGGGCGCGGGTAAAGCGATCACCGTCCAGGCAGACGTCAGCTCCCTCGCGGGGTACCAGAAACTTGTCGACGCAGCGCTCGCAGGGTTTGGGCGGATCGACAGCCTGGTCTTGAGCGCGGGATACACGGAGTACGGGGCTTTGAAGGACATCACCGAGCAGGAGTATGAGAAGCATTTCGATACGAACGTGAAGGGACCTCTGTTCCTCACCCAGGCAGCCGCGCCGCATTTGAAGCCCGGTATGTTCGCACTCTTAGTCAAGTGGACTCTAGAGAGTCAACTCACGCTGTTTGCCCCTGTCAGGCTCCAAGGTAGTCCTTTTCTCCTCGTCGCTTACACACGGCTCCACCCTCTCTCCGAATACCATTCTGTACGTTGCGTCAAAAGGCGCCGTCGAGCAAATCAGCCGTGCGCTCGCGAAGGACCTCGGGGCCCGCGGCATCAACGTTAAGACTGTAGCCCCTGGACCGATCGACACCGATCTCTTCCGCCGTGGGTCAACGGAGCAGCAGATCGCGTTCTTCGAGAGCATCCATCCGCAGAAGCGGCTCGGCCAGGCGGAGGAGGTCAGCAACCTCGTGCAGTTCCTCGTCAGCGACGGGGCGAGCTGGATAAACGGCCAGACGATCAGGGTGAACGGAGTAAGTCGCATCGCTGGGAGCCTTTGGTTCTCGTACAATAGCTGACAAATCACTTGCAGGGCTACGTGATTTAATTGTACCATCAGTCGCCGACGTTTGTAATATGTTAGCAGGCACTTGTGTGTCCTCACCACCAGAGCTAAGGGAGCGCGATCATGAAACGGTCGAGCATTGATGCATACTGAGCATGATGTAAGCTCACAGGATCACATATGACAAGTGCCCGAGTCCAAGGTGAGCCTCACCGTAACCGTCATAGACTTCTCGAGTAAATTCTCGCATACATTGCCCCTTCATACCTTTCGACCTGACTCGCCCAGGGGCGGACATACTATATTTATCCACGGCGACGGGCAATGTTGACAAGGCATGTTACTGTACATGTACGTCTGCAGTGTCGCCGCACACCCTTGCATGCCTCAAGCCTTCTGCCTGACTGAGTTGTCCTTCCTGCTCTCGCGCGTTGCGAACGTGCGTGACGTCCGGTAATATTGCCTAGTCCTGTGAAGGTGTGCCATACTCGAACCACGTCGCGTTTCATATTCTATCAGATTCTATCCATTCCTCAAGCTGTTGTCCTGACTATTCGTCCACAAGCACCGCCACTGCTCGCTCGGACGTGAATCGACGTGCAATCTGGGGTTCGTGCCTCAACTTCTTTGCAATGTTGTCCACTACTGACGAGATCAAGGTGTTTTTTAAAAACGCCGGCCTGCCCGCTTTGGAACAGTGATCCCACCATTGATCGGCGATCTCGTGCCACGAATCGAGCCACGTTGCATAACCACAATACTTGGAGAGTGGGCACCGTCTTGCAATACTAATCATTGAGAACTGTGAGTAATCCTTGCAAGGGTCTCAACGGTTTTGTTTTGGGAAAAGAGAGCTCTTGCAATGGGGAAACAAGTTCATGCGGTGCATGCTATGCTTTGACTCAACTTTTGCTCCCGAGACGTGTGGAAAACTTCCTTGTCGCCACGGACGCCCGAGTGCCCAAGTTGCAGAGAGCTTATGCATTGTTCCTCATGTATGCCGTATCGAATATTCTAGACCCATTAGTGGGTCAATGTCAATGCCCGAGGGTTGACCGGATGCTTACGCGGGCGGCGCTCAAGTGCAATGTGACCGTAGGCACCAGCTGTCGGGCTATAGCGTGTGGCCTGTGCCTAAGTACATGGTGTCCGTCTAACATTCTGATTTCTGTCGAATACGGCTCTTGATCAGAGGAAGGAATCCACTTGACGGTAGTCCCAAGGCTTCGAGACCACATTCTACGCCGCTTGCCCCGCCGATTGTAACTATTCCCAACTTGATTTTCGCCAGTGAATTTCCGAGCCAACACCAAGACTACTAAGCTATTTGGTAAGTGGGTTTTCTGTACGTCTTGATAACTCTCTATGACGTTTAAGGGGCGATGCTCGATCCGATCTACTGGACGGATCTTCTCCGATTTAGTTTCGAGGGGCAGTGGTGAGACACCTGTTTAGTATATTGGGGCAACCTGCCCCTCGCTCGGCGACCTCACCCGTTCCGTCGGCATGAAACTGTGCTTCGGATAGTGCATACCGTTGCTCTGGCATGTAGCGGGCAATATTGCACTGCTTGTCCATATGCATGTAATAGCAATCTGTCCGGAACCCTGCAGATGGCTAGCGTGATGCTGATGCAATCCTTGTATTAGCTTCCTTTTCTATGCCTGTATTCTCTTCACATAGCACTAACATAACCCGAGTGCGCTCGCTCTTTGGACTCCCCAGGGACATTTGACTCGCAATGTATATGCGCGGCAAGAAGTATCTGGCCAAAACTTGCTAGCCTAACTCGGATTTCAATCTTGCAGATGTTGTACCAGACCGTGTTGTCGGCCACTTCTAGGTGGGCATGTAGCACATAGTAGAGGACACGGCTACTGGCAATGGTTGATAATTTGCAGCTCGATCCCGTCAGCGCCTATTGCAGCCCGGTAGTTTCCGGCGCGACAAATGTATCAGCGGCCGCGGTAGTACAGTGTCAAGGACATCCTCAGACAACAGTATCAAGGTGCCTCTGCATTTTTTAGGCCATATTCTCAAATTTAGGCAACGGCAGTGTATAAGGTCCCTATATCCGGCAGTCATGTCGCCGACTCTTCTGCCAGCGGAGGCCGCAACGACCCCGGCAACCCGAATAGACCGCACGGCGCAAAGGCCAGGTATGGAGCCGTTGGGCCCAGAAGTATCGGTGCAGTAAAGGTTGACATCGAGGTATCAGGCCACCACTGGTATCTGTCACATACGGAGCAACTCCATGCGCCTCCTCTCCGTCTGATGACCACAATCCGCAGATTAGCTCGCTACCGTCGGCATGCTTCTGCCATATCTACGCCGCAGCGTGAGGCATCGCAGGCTGTGCGGCCATGCCTGCTATCTCATCTTCCAGCGACTTTCAGTGGCCTCGCCTCCGAGAACCTGCCTAGCTCGCACCGCCTGCTCCCGATGAGTCGACAGGCAGTCAAATTCTCCGCCGCGTGACATGTGCACCATGTCGTACATTCTCCGAGAACGATGTTTGCTTCTCCCCGGGGTAAAATAACGTTGCGCAGTAGTAATATATATAATATAGGAACGAGGAGCTTTGCGCAGTGCCACTAGTGGCTGACGCTCAGCTTGTGTACAGCAAGCGCATCGGAAGCTTTGGACTACAAGTAGGTGAGCTCTCTGAAATAACTGTTGAACCATACTTGACTCTTCTGATTATGGAGGGTACTATTATAATGTGAATTGTTTGCCTAAATTGCTTGCTCCGAATGCTCCAGGTGCTCGCAAATTTTGACTGTATACACGCGTTTAATGCGGATGCTGAAAATATGGGACACGTAGTACGGGAACAATGATTCACCCGACTCGTTCGCACAATGATCCAGGTATCAAGCGCACGCAGCCAGTTGGGATCATGCGCAGGGAAGCAAAGGAGGCGTTCGAAACCAGATCCCTGGACTCTCGGTAGTATACTCATCTCCGCCGAGGGCTTACTGCAGCTAGACACAGCGTGACTGATTTCTCTGCCCTTGACTGGCAGCGTGGGGACACGTTCTACGTCAGGACGCAAGCGAAGTTCAATCTCGCTACTGCGAACGGAATGTGCTTTCCCTGAAGCACGCGAATTGCCTATCACAACGGAGGGAGACTGAGATTCGGAACCGTATACACCAATTTGTAACACTTCTAGGACCTTCCTCTAGGGACGAATCTGTGAAGGGGTTCCTTCCAGTATTGCGAGGTTTACCTAGTTCTTTTCCAAATATCCCTCTGAGCACTTGCTTGCATCTTATCTCGTAGTAGGACGTGGAACACAAGGCCATTGAGCTTCTGCAGCGGAGAAGTCCATCCTATACTACGTTCCTCGGCGATCATCTCTTCAAGGCCGTAGTTTCACATTGACTTCCTCGGAACAGCCGCAAGCTCACTTAGCGCAATTATCTTCTACGCAAGCATTCGCAGTGCGAAGCTGTACCTGCTTAGCACCTTCGAGGGACGCTTCTCGTGAGATACCGTCATGAGTCTAGCAAATAGGAGGCTCTAAGCCTATCGCTACAGGACGGGTACTTGGTTCACCGATCGCAGGCGTACCTTAGAGAATAACCCCCTCTACAAATGGCAGCAATAACAATCTATTCGAAGCTGAGCATAAAACGTAGACCTCGCACAGCATCATACGTTCGACCCGATCTCTGGCACGCTTGCCGGCGTAGGTGCTGTACTGGGCGGGTCGCCGGAATGGGGAAGTGCCTGAGGCGGACGGACTCGGCGGGCCCACCACCGGGCAAGCTTCGTCTTCTCATTCCCTGCAGCGGTGGTCCTGCCCTCTTCGGCTTCTGTGGCTATCTCCTCTCCCGGCTCCTTCGCAGGGAACAGACGATCCCACAGCCGGTGCAGGATATCCCACACGGACGAGTCTCCACCGCTCTCCCAGCCCGTGAAGATCGTCCAGCCGACGAGGAGGGCGACGGCGATCCATACTGCGGCCGTTGTGAAGATGGCGGTGCGGTCGTTCGAGCCGAAGCACTCAAACGAGAAGGCGAGGAGGAACGTCAGCATGCTATACCGAGAGTTAACGTTCATGCTGCGGTAGAGACCAACAGCGGAGATGACGTACCCCCACATGAGTAGCGCGTACGGCAAGCTGTAGATAATGGCCAGCGTTTCGAGACCGAGCATCTCGTGCTTACGGGAGCTGAGGAACCGATTCTGTGCCTGGGGTCAGTGCAAGCCAGGCATTGCAAACAGCAGGTGATACTCGCGGCTTCCTCCGCAGTCTCCTTGGACTTGACTCGATGCTGCCGGATCAGTAAGAGGCCGAGCAGAATGCTGCCGACGCTCGTTACAACGGACAGATAGCTGCTGATTTGTGCGGCTGTTACGTGACCGTTCCCACTGTCAACGCTCGGGATGGCGAGAAAGGCCACGTTCGCGTTTAGCAGAACCGTCGACTACATCTGTAGGTGTTAGAAATGATGCAACGCTAAGGACGAGGCATACGGACGTAGAGCACAAATTCCTGCCACTCGTTCTGCAGCTTGCCTATGAAGCTGCCCCACGGGATGATAGAAATTATCCCATCGACCCAGATTTTCTCGAGTCCACGAAGGTGTACCTCAGGAGCGTTCCAGAAGAAAGGCGCAAGGATCCTGATGAGAGGCGTACGACGGGTCTTGACGTTGTTGTACACGCTCTGGTCACGACCGAGACGGGCGTGCGTCTGTCCATGGAAGTTGAGGAAGCGGTTATGGACTGGGCGGCAAAGACGTCAACGACGGGTCGGATTGCGCGGCACCCCAGGAGACTTACTCCAGATTCCCATCAATCGTCCTTGATGGTTGGAACTCAATGTATAGCTTCGTAAACATCACTCGAAGGTTGTAGGCTCACCTACTGCTGCCGTTGCGTAATCCGTCCCTTGAACCGCTATGAGCAACTGATCAGCACCGCTGTAAGGAACCCATACGAGAGCGTCACCTTTCGCGGATTTAACGAGACCGAGCATTCGGTGAACCTCATCTTTACTATAGGTGACGGTGGTCGTCATCGAGGTGATCGCATCTACGCCGGAATATGAGTCAAGGTGCAAGCGCGATGTAAATGGATGCACACACCGATGCTCGCAAATAGCAACATGCCGGTCAGTTCAGTAAACACTTCGTCAGGAATGCGGTGCCCATAGGGGTACATTTCAAGATGCTGCCTGGACATCCTGCTAAGTCGGTGTTATCGGCTACGAGAGACATGGCAACGTACCAGTACTTCGCTTCAACCTCACACTCTACGAGAGTATCAGTCCAGGGCGAGCACGAGAGCGATTGGGAAGCATACTTATGTCGTACGGAGCATTCAGAGCGGTCACCTCATGTATCAGCAAGTCATCAATGGGATGACATTCCTGCACCCAGAACAAAGACCGCGAGCTGTGGTCGACGAAGTAATAGATCCAGTTGTAGCCACCAGAGATACGGCGCTCCTCCAGAAAGAGCACGAGTTCGCAGTTCGGGGGAAGGACAAGTCCTTGCTCTGCTACCATCTCGTCGATTATTCTGGCGAAGGTGATTAAAGTGGCCAGGGTGCTCGACTCGCGCACATCACAATCGGTGTAGATTCGCTTCGAGCACCGTATCAGACAGCGGAGGTAGACTGTAGCGAACAGCATGCATTACCCGTCGGGGATGGTAGAAATACAGTCTGCCCTCTGGGTGAGTACAGGCTACCCAATCAAGAGGCACGTTTTCTCTGCCACAGGACTGTCAACTACACGACACATTGTTCGATGGGTTAACAACTTACATCGTAAGATGCGTCGCAACAGGTGCAAGAGTCCAGTCTCCCGGATCGGGAGATACTGTAGCGTAATTGTCGTAACGTGGTATAGTCATAGTAGGGTATATCGTTTCTCGCTCCACAGGCAGGGATATCGCTATAGACGGCAGACTGTCCGGAGTCGGCTCCGCAATGTCACCAGCAAGCACGACCGACTGTCGACTGCCGATCGTCTGCCGGTCCGGAGAAGAGGGTGAAGATGGCAGTTGTGGATGCGCTGGACCCGGAGAGCGTGGTGGCATTATCGACAGGTCGACGACAGAAGGACCTGGGGTCCTGGAAGGAGCCCTGGATGTTCTCGAGTGCGATGTGGCCCGCGAGGGTGCCCTCGAGGCTACACGTGAGATGCCACGAGCGGCCGCCCGGGACGTAGGGCGGCCTTCCGGACGAGGATGCGCGACACCGAGGTGTCTCCCGCGAACATGTGCCACATCGTTTGTTGAATGGACGTCAGTCGAGACGTTGGATGCCTTCGACCCGTTTGAGTGGGTATAGGAGTACGGGTGCAGCATGTCGTGAGAGCTGTGGACAGAAGACTGACCGGGGAGGACCATCGATGCCGGACGTGTCGGAATGTCACCCGGTTGCAGAAAGTGGGCATGGGGGTGGTCCAGGGGAAGATCCAGAGCAGAAAGAGGCCTTCTGCTCTCGCAAACGGTCACCACCTCGGCCTGGCTGCGCGGAGCATCCGCAGGCTGGTGGTTGTGCCAGACCAGCTCTTGAGACGTCTCGGCAGGGCTCGTTATCTCCCTCCTACCCGAACTCCTGCTCTTCAGCACCCCGCTCGACCCTTCCCTCCCGTCCCGAGGCTTGGGTGACCTGCCCAGCAATCTCGATAGCAAGAAGCGCTTCAGACGCAGCCATAAAACCAGGATATGCTTCAAGAAAACGCTAGCTCTCCATCGCCTCAGTCGAATCACGAGAAGCACCAGCGAGGAGCGCACAGCTGTCAGCAAATTTGGCATACGAGGGACTAACAAGGTTCGAGGACGCGAAGCCAAGGAGTCAAGCTCAGGATCCCTGGTAGAGAGTTTGGAGGAACCAAGTAGCAGTCTGCGTGGGTACGGTTAGACATGTGGAAATGGCGCACGTGAACGGTCGTATTTGATGATTTGGTTGCAGACTTTCGTGAATACGAGCGCCCGTCACCCTGCCCCTCGATCGTTTGTGTTGCAGTCCAACTGAGAAGCTCAATACATAGTGCTAAAGTCTGAGCGATATCGCCATTGCCTCAGAGGTGATGAGACAATGTGCTACGGTACTAGTCTGACCGTCATATGCGGCAGGGGAGCTACAGCGTTCAACAAACTCAACGAGTATAGACTAGTACCAAATTGAGAACGTCCCACGATCGGACAGAATCATAGTAGACTACTACACTGATAGAATCTACAAGCACCCCACCTGATGGATACCCGTGGGCTGACCACAGTAATATTCATCAAGCGGATGAATCTCCTAGGATGAGAGGGGAGTTTACGCGGGATCCTGCCAGGGTGCCGATAGAGCGACCTCAGATGAAGGGTCCAGGAGCGTTCACCTCAGCGATTGAAGACTGGCAGCGCCGGCCTAAGCGAGAAGGCGCGCGTGCAAGCGCCGAAGCCTCGGATGGTCAACAAGATTACGTCGGCTAGACAAGATGACGGTCGGCTAGTGCGTCAAGTACAACTTTCACATTGCCGACCCTTTGGCGCGCGTCGACAAAGGAACAAGTTAGGACTGTCCCGAAATCAGACCTCCGTTTCACGTGAAGGGATTCTGCGCACTGTCCGTCGTGAGAGGTTTCTTCAGCGGAATGCCTATTATGCGACATCCAGCACGTTTTCAGTACTCGGACATGACGTAAAAGTTGTGGCGACCTCTCTGTCCTGGGTGTACTGAAGCCCCCCAGGTAAAGAACAAAGTCTTGGGGCTAGGATTTCGCATCAAGTCACATTTGTCGAAATACCTGCCTGCACTAGGCTTCCAAGACATCTGATCAGAACTCCGTCCCAAAGAATTTCAACCTTATATGTTTTATTGCTGACTGGTATATGTTTGAAACAGCGGGGAGGTAGGAGCAATTAATAGACATTCTCGACAGAGGGAGAGCACCCTAGGCTAAGTGCCCACTTACACCGGAAAACGTGTTTGCACCCAGGCAGGTTGTATTGGCCTTCTGTGGAAGAATACCACCCTGGAAGTGTTGAACTTGGACTTATCCGGTCCGGACTACACGAGGCTATGCGTCTCCTAGCGCTTAGCTGTAGTCGCTTATGTAGTATGTTACCATATTTGGGACTCTCTGCTCGTGTACTATAGCTATGCTTCCGGACTCTTCTGGTACTGTCTAGGACAATCTGTACTACTCCAGAACGGTCTAGACAGGTCTATGCCTTACTCATCTCTTACTCATTCTATGGTGCGATATGTCGCAATTCTTTCACCATTGTATTGTTCATCGC